GACATCAGGGTGGTGCAAATCTTCACTTACCTCCTGTTTTCAAATGGGTAAATCATTCACAGCCTTAGGTAACCCATTCTTAGTAACAAACGCTTCTCAGCACAGGCCGGCACCGATGGTGACTCACCAGTGTGCTATGACTCTCTGGCTTCTGGCCACCTCTGTAACCACAGTTTATCATACCTTTGCCCTAATCTGATTGGACGTCTCCACAAGCCATGTTTATACAGATCACTATGTGAACGGTGCTTTTTTACAAAACTGAAAATGGGCAAATGACGGAAAATGTGTGCAAAGTTCAAGAGCAAACTGACTTAGACCAAATCTCAGGAGACGGTATGTGTGTGGGTTGGGGGAGCGCACACACATGTGCACACTCTTCTGTAATAAGAACACCGTTACCAACCTGACTGGTGCTCCAGATTCCCAATTTCATGACACGTTTGCTCCAAGCTTCTCCTGAACAGTGTTAAAGTCTCCCAATGCAGCATGTTTTTCTCTCCCTTTGGAGAGAAAAATCTTTGACTTGGGGTTATGACAAAATTTCCAACAGTATCTGAAGTGCCCCTAAATACTATGAATTTGTGTGAAGTTGTTAACACTGGTGAGTTAAAATCAAAATGTCAGAGAACTCTGAAAAGCACTGAAGATACTCTTCAACTATGTCAGCAGTCTCAAATATTCAGGCAAGACTTAATTATTTATGCAAAGCAAGCCCACCAACTCATTAGTATGCAAATTTGTCTAATATTAGTAAAACCTGTGTACACTCAAAAATTGTTGTAAAATAAATTCGTGACTCAATTGCAGTAAATATGTACTTTGTATGTCTTTTTAATGTACCTTTATAGTCTTAGTCACATAAAGATGGCTTGGATAAAGAGGCCGTTAAGTGGAGAGAGTTTAAGAGCCTCTGCCTGCTTCTGTTTAACACGGCCTATCTCTAGAGGCTGGACATCCAAGATCAAGGCATGAGCAGGGACCGCACTCTCTGAAGGCTCTGGAAGGACCTGCTCCAGGCCATTCTCCTGCCTTCCAGCTCTTTTGTTTTGGTTGGCATAACTCTAGTCTTCACAGAGTGGTTTCTATGACTGTCCATGTCCAGTCATGCACTCCTTTTAAAATTTGGAGACTATGTCTTACTATGCAGTCCAGGTTAGCCTTAGACTCATGATCCTCGTGGCTCTTAGCCCTAAGCACTAAGATAACAGGCATGTACCCTCTGGCCCGGCTGAATTTGAAGCCACAGTAGCCATATTGAATTAGGGGTCCGTCCTACTTCCTGTATGAGTTTATCTTGACTAATTATTGGCAGAAATGGCTTTATTTCAAACCAAACTCAAAATTTGAGGTGTCATGTCTAAAGATTCCTACGAAATAAATCGGGGGACATATGGTGGTGGGAAAAACTCAACTCCTAACCTTTTTTTCATCCTCCCAAATTTCCACTGTGAGTGGCAGCATGCCCCTTACCCTGAACTGACCCGAGCCTTCAAGTGATGTGACTCCTTCTTATGTCTACCTATCTAACGGTGTACCAACAATGGCTTTCTTGTCACCGCTTCACTATTTCACCCATGTTTTAGTTGAAATAAAAAGACTTAGGAAGTCAAATCATGCACACAAATGGCTTGCCAGCAGATGCTGACAGAAAGGAACTGAGGTGCGTTTGTCTGGGAGAATGCCCAACCTTAGTCCACTATCCCCTAGTGACCTTGGAAACACCGGGGGATACTTTTCTGTCCAAATCAGGACAATTAGTTTATCCACCATTGGCAACTCTGGCTATAATATTCAGTGGCGCAAATCTGGTCATTTCGTTATTTACTAGGCATGCACTGAACAGTGTCCTAGGTATTAAAAGTGATCAGTAGGTAGAACATATAAGGGTAGTGGCAATTATCTGTTGTGGAAAAAAAATTAGCACAGGGTGAGACCAATGGTACTGGGTTCAGATCCTGCCTGCTGAGAGTGCTAGCTACTCTCGGGCCTTGCCAAAGCTGTATCTATTCTTTGAGTTACATATCATTAAATTTAAACCATTTTTTGTCACTCTCCCATAAGAGTGTGAGGATTAAACTTTTGAAAATCCCCTTTCTTCTCCTTTTCTGCTGCCCTGCCTGCCGGGTGTTTTATATGTATGTCTCCCACAGCTACTGCTGTGGCCAAATTAGGGGAAATGTTGCATTTGCTTTAATAATAATTGTACATGGTGGCAAAGTACCAAATTAAAATAATGTGAACCAAGAAAGCGCTAATCCCACAAGGAAACATAACTAAGATGGTATTTGAAGGTCAGGGGAACCGAATGTTTCTTCTGGTTGGCAACCCATCCCACTGGGTTTCAGTGCTGAATTTATAAAACCTAAGAACCTCACAGTTGTGAAATGAATTCCTCTAGGAAATAACTTTAATTAAAAATAAGAAGCTGTGAGGCTGGAGAGATGGCTCAGTGGTTAAGAATGTTGGCTGCTCGCCGGGCGGTGGTGGCGCACGCCTTTAATCCCAGCACTCGGGAGGCAGAGCCAGGCGGATCTCTGTGAGTTCGAGGCCAGCCTGGGCTACCAAGTGAGTTCCAGGACAGGCGCAAAGCTACACAGAGAAACCCTGTCTCGAAAAACCAAAAAAAAAAAAAAAAAAAAAAATGTTGGCTGCTCTTCCAGAGGACCCAGGTTCAATTCCCAGCATCCACATGGTGATTCACAACCATCTGTAACTATAGGCCCTGGGAATCTAACTCCCTCTTCTGACCTCTGTGGGTACTGCATGCAGCCAAAACACCCATTCACTGAAAATAAAAATAAAGAGTAACTAAAAAAATGATTTTCTAGGGTTTGAAATGCAAGCGGTGCTGGAAATTTATCTCAGAATTTATATGCTAATGGTATGTGGAGGCGTGGCCTTTGAGTAGGAACTTCAGGCTAGCTGAGAGTGAGAATTCTTATTATAGAGCTAGTGGCTTCGTAAAGCACATGTGGCCATCACAACATATGGATACTTGAAAATAGGTTTTTGGATTTTGTTTCATTTTGAGACAGGGTTTCTCTGTGTTGCTTTGGTGCCTGTCCCGGATCTCACTCTGTAGACCAGACTGGCCTAGAACTCACAGAAATTTGCCTGGCTCTGCCTCTCGAGGAGCTGGGATTAAAGGCCTGTGCCACCACCGCCCGGCTTGGTTTTTTGTTTGATGGTTTGTTTTTGTTTTTAAGTAGTATTTTGCATGGAATGATTTGCAGTGGGTTTTGGTCATTGTGATCTCTGAACATACCGGGCATTCATAGGATGGGTAGGTCAGTACTGTTAGTAATCAAAAAGAATAAGATTGTGGTGACAAAATAAAGTTGGATGGCTTTACAGAAAGAAAAAAGAAAAGAAAAGAGACCAGGGCTAGCATTTTTGTGTCAGGTGACATCCTCTGCCATGTTGTAATGTGGCAACAAGACCTTGACCAGATGCTAGCACCATGCTCTTGGACATCCCAATCTGCAGATCATGAGTCAATTGACCCCCTCCTCTTTATAAATCACATGATCTACAAGTCTGAGTTGTAGCCACAGAAAAACAGACCAGGGTATCAGCAAGAGGCTTGCAGATATATGCTTGTCATAAAATTCTGAGTATGTACTACACAGGAAAAAAAATTATATATATATATATGTTTTTAAATTGTGAAATTGGTTCCTGTTTAGAGAACACAAATTGAATAAACTACAAATCATATGACCTGGGGATGTTTAGAATAGTTCACTGCCAACTATTCCAACCTTAGCTGGCCTGTAGTTTGTCTTCTGCTTTCCTTTTTTTTTCTCTCCTCTATCTTTATTTTCTTTCATGGTGGTAGTTACTATTACTATTATCATTATTATTTGACTTTTGTTTTCTTATGATATACTTTTCTCCATCTCTTTTAATTTCCCTTTAAAAAAAGAGTGTGTGTGGGGGTGTGTGTGTGTGTAAGGGGAGGGCAGATGCCCTCTGTGGTTACAGTAGAGTGTCAGTCCCTCTAGAGCTGGAGTCACAAGCATTTGTAAGCCACCCAACATGGGAGATTGGAACTGAACTCTGGTTCCAAGAGCAGTAAGCACCTTTAGCTCCTGAGCTCTCTCTTCAGCCCCTACTTTTTCCTTCTTGAATTGGCCCAAATATGGAATTGAAACGTAACTGCCAAGTATTTCATGTAACCATTTTTAAGCGAATGCTTATTTCATTTTCTTAATTAAGAATATTCTTAATACTCTTATTAGATGAGTTGAACATTTATGTCTGTCAAAAGCTCAGTTAATTAACACTGCTAACATTAATTTTTGATAGCTCATTGACTTTTCCTCCAGTGATATATTTTGCATCCACTGACATAGGGTAGATAAAGAAGGACATTAATATGAAGAAAGAAATTTCTAGAAGCAGTGTGTGAATTTTCCATATTATACAGTCATGTTTTACATTTTCATTTTAAGAGTGGAGATTGCTATCTTTCTGTGTATTTTCAACATAATTTTCAAAACATGTCTGTAAGGGAACCAATCTGTCTTCGTGTTGTTACAGCGACTTTAAAGACAGAAGAGAATTCAGGGTCGAATCTGGCAGGGCAGCGTGGGGCAGGCTCTCCTCTTCCCTCTTTCCTCACAGAAACTATAATTCTGTTTCTCATTTTTTCATTGTTTCGGAAGACACCAGACTTCCACAGTCAATGGCTTCTATAATTTTTTTGCTTCTAAGCTTTGTTTTAGCCATTCCTTCTATACAAAAGCTCACCTCCTGTATTTCCAACCCACTTTCACTTTCCAGGAGTTGAAAGTTGAATCACTGTCTCTCTGATGGTCAAGTTGGTGAGACTGGCCAATCAACACTGAGCAAATGCATCTCTGCTCCCACGGCCTCTACAGACCCCGGCAGCGCATACACAATGCTCTTTCCTCTCACTGTCTGGGGCAGGTGTGACTCTTCTGCCCCCTGTTAGGCAGCGAAACGCAGAGGGCAGGAGCTCATGGCTCACTTACGTCTTTCAACTCCACACAGGTCCTCAGCAGAAAAAAAGGGTCAGCCAATCATCAAGCAGACCTGTAAGGGAAGGGAGGGCATGGCACATACATGTACAACAGAGATAACAATGTAAGCTCGGATGAATGAGCAGGAGAAAAAATTATTAGTCAACAGCAACTACAAAAGGAGCAAGAAGGTTGTGGGTTCTCTTTTGGGGATTAAAACACACAGCTGTAAGACCTCAGACTATAAAAAAAAATAAATCTTCAATACATTTGTATTAAATCAGATCAGATTTGAAGACTAGAGGTAAAACGTTGTGTGTTTGTGTGTGTGCATGTATTTATGCATGTGTAGGTAGGTATGCATGTGCATGTGTACATATGTGGTGGCCAGAGGTTGGTATTTTCTATTATTCTTCATTTTATTTTTTGAGGCAGGGTCTCTCGCGGAGCCTGGAGCTCACTGATTCAGCTAGACAAGATGATCACCATGCCCCAGGGATCTATCTGTCTCTGAGATTACAGGCATATGACACTACACCCATTTTTTTTTTTATGTCTGTGCTTGGAATCTGAACTTGGGTCCTCCTGCTCCTGTAGTTAGCATTTTACCGAATGAGCTGGCTTTCCAGTCCCCAGAGATCAACCTTTCTGATGAGAAGTACACGTAGGAATAAATAAAGCCAACATTCATCACAGCAAGACTAATTGTCAAGCATTGTCTCAAGTAGTTTTAGTGAACAGACTCATTGAAAACTGAAATTTTCAAATGACCCTGTCCCTAGGCCTGAGGTATGAAGAGGTAGCCCAACCCAGGCTTGGTCACACAGCTTGTGATTGGAGGGGAAATGGAATGCGGTGAGCTGTTATACAAAAAAAATAATAACCCGAAGTCTGAGTGTATAAATAAATGTGATTACTGGGAAGTATTGGAGTTATAAAGTACAGATGTTATTTAGTTTCATTATTTATTCCATCCCCCGACACCCCACACGTCTTTTAAACCTTATGCATCACCTCTCCCTCCTAGCATGAAGGCATGAGTAACCAGCCTCACTGTAAAATGATAGTGCTGAGGTCTTGCACTTGGAGAACACAGTTGGAGACCGTCGGAGCATCTTACCTTAAACAGTTGCTTGAGCAGAGGGTGGGTAGTAAGACAGAGCCTCAGTTTCCTCCTCCAGTCAGGACCTGCATTTGGGGAGAGAACTGGAGCCACAACAGGAACAGCTGTTTCCTGCTGCATTTGGTGGTCTCTCCCCGACATCCCGTATCCAGTCTCATACCACGGTGCTTTTCTTCCCTATTGGAGCGGGATCCTTAAAATGAAGGCTGGGTCCCCTTACCCAGTGGGATCCATGAGCGCTACGCTGCGTCACCACCACTCGGATGGAAGGCTGGGCGGTCAGTGTGGTCTCCGGTGCGTACTCCTTGCTGGGATCCTTGCCCCGGCAGTCATACAGCACGCAGGAGATGAGGAACACCAAAAGTAAAATGACGTAGCTTGCAACTAGGATGATGAGGTTCAAGGTGACAGGGTCGATCTCCAGGTAAAACTCCATCACCTCTCCCACGGCGGCGGCAGCGGCGGCGGCGGGGAAATGTGTCTAGGGGAAGGCATTTGGGGTCAGTTTGGGCATTGCAGGGAGCCAACACAAAGGCTATATTGACTCTGGAATAAAAAATACAGTAATCCCCACTGCTCCAGGAAACCTCGGGGATTAGAGCTGCTCAGTTTAATAACTTAAGCTCTTTCCGTTAATACCACAGGCACCAACACTGGAGAGAAGAGTGGTGGAGGGGGAGAGGGAGAGGCGCCTGAACACAAGTGCTGCTAATGAGCGAGCGCCTACCACACCAAGACAACAGTCACAAACCCAGATTGCCCTGGACGACTATGAAGTGTGTAGTGTTGTTAGCCTTCACCTAATGGAAGTTGAATGCCAAGTGTGGAGTGTTTTTGGGTTCCAGGCCTTTGGGGTTTGGATCAGCATCTTTTAATCAGGAGGAATGTACCAGCACCTGATACATTCACTGTGTTGGTTTGAGTAAGAATGTCTCCCATAGGCGCCTGTGTTTGAATACTTGGTCTCTGTTTGGTAGAGCTGTTTGGGAGGGATTAGGAGGGGCGGCCTTGTTGGAAGAGGTACATCGCTGGGAATGGGCTTGGAAGTTTCAAAAGACTTCAAGACTCCTCTGTGTGCCTCTTGCCTGTGGTCAGGATGTGAACTTTCAGTTCTTCCTGCTGCCAAGCCTTTGCATGACCATCCCAGACTCTAACTCCTGAAACTGTTAGCCCAGTTAAATGCTGGGTGTGGTAAGTTGCCTTGGTGTTCATGACAGAAATAGACCGGTCACTGAGACATTCACCATCCTTTATTCTTTTCACTCATCCATCCTTTCAAGTACCTCCTCTGTCTCATGATCTTCCTTAAACATCAATGAGGCTGTGGGAAAGGTAAGATGGTCTTGCAGGGAGACAGATGTTAAACAATTAATTGCATAAATCAAGCTTTAAGGATGAAGGGATGGGATGGAGTTGTAGCTCAGCAGTTAAGAGCACTTGCTGCTCTTGCAGAGCAAGAGGAACTCAGTTCCCAACATCCACACTGAGTGACTCACAACTGCCTGTAATTCTGGCTTTAGGAAAATCTAATGCCTCTGGCTCGGAGGGCACTTGTAGTAATGTGTACATACACACAGGCGCGCACACACATATATGTGATTAAAAATAATAAGGCTTAAAATTTAAAAAGAGAAGGGTAGGAATACATTAATAAGGGACATAACAAGAGAAGGTCCCAGGATGGATTAAAACAATTCCATAAACAGAGTCAGTTAGGTGGCTCAGCAGCTAAAGGAGCCTGCCACTACACCTGATGCCCTGAGTATGAGTCCCAGGACCTCCATGGTGGAGGGAGAAAACCAGCTTCCAAAAGTTGCCCTCAGGCTACCTGGAGCAAGAACATGTTGTGGCATGTATCCTCCATCTATAAAAATGAACAGGCTAATTAAAATGTCATTTTAAAAAGGCCAATAAGGAAGCAATATTTAACCCATGACCTGAAGGGTAAAATTTATCTAGCTAGGACAGGCAGAAAGGGTTCTTGTGGCCACAGAAAGTAGAGTACGTGGAAGATCTGAGAAGAAAAAAGGCCAGAAAATGAGAAGAATGAGAACAAAGGAGTGTAACTTGAGCATTGAGGAAGAACGAAGAGCATGGGGGTGGGTGACTTTTGGGCTATGCTAAGGGCTGTAGCCTTGGTCCCAGGGTGAGGGTACCATTGGAATTTTGACCAGAGAGCAACAAGATCCTGTTTGCATTTTGAAGAGACCACATTTGGCTGCAAGAGGGCCTGCAAGGTGAGGGGAAAGTCATATGTGGATTAGAATAAGTTATTCTTCTAGGTATAAATTTTTCCTATCTCAGTTGTAGTCCTGTCCCTGAGTGCCAACAGATCCATCTCCATTTTCTTACGATTTACACCAATGCACCAGACTCTATGCTTAGAGTGTTCTGCCGCTGCCATCTTGAAATTACTAAGAAGTTGGAATTTTGGATTGGGCTATCTGTAACAGCAAATCTTCATTAATAACTTGGCTGGATTTAGAATCACCTAGGAGATGAATGAAGCACATCTCGGGGTGTGTCTGTGAGAGCATTTCCAGAAAAAATTAACCTAGAACGGAGACTTACATTGAATATGGGTGGTACCGCCCAACAGGCTGGTGGTCTGGACAGAGGAAAAGGAGAAATGAGCTCAATACTGGCATTTCCCCGTTCTCTGCTTTCTGGACCATGGCATGAGCTTCTCTGCTCTGTCACACCTTCTTGGCCATGATGCACTGAACCCCTCCAAATCCATGACCCAAAATGGATCCTTCCTTAAGCCGCTTCTATGAGGCATTTGGTCACTATGATAAAAACCTAACTTAAGACATTCCCATAATTCATTTCTTTTTCTTGGTTTTGTATGTGTATTTTTGGCTGTACAGGACACCAACTGCCATTTCTCTAATGATAACGGCAGTCTTCTGATACTCCTAGTTAAAGGCTGATGCATCCATCCAGAGGTTGAGGTTAGTAGGTTTCTTTGTTTTGTTTTAGCATTATTAAGCTCTAATGAGCTTCCTGCCATACCCATTTCACCGTCTTCCACAGGAACCTGAGAATTCAGGAATGCTTTAGAGGGTCACTTGTAATCCTCTAGAGATCTTTTCCCAAGTAAAATATTCTATGATTGTGTGGTCCCAGACTCAGGATGAATGCTTCTCATATGCTGTAGTTTGGGGGTCAGCCTTCTTGGACACAACTGGGCTTCTTATTAATACAGATACCTGTATCTAACCCAGGTAGATCTGATGAGGATCTTTGGGACTTGAGTCTTAGAGTCTACATTAATAGAAGTCTTCATGGATATTTTACTATGCAAGTATGTTCTTGAGCATAAAATATGAAAGTAAAGTCTGTGACCATATCTCTCTGACTGTGCCCAATTTCATCTAATCTTGGATCTGGTAAGTACTTGAATGGGAGAATATAAAAGCAGAAGGTGAGGGAAATGGTCAAATGGACCTTGAACATCTGCCAAGAGATACTCCAGGATGTGTTCAATATACACTTCAATGCTGTTCAATAGATTCAGAGAATTAATTTTGTCAAGAGAAAGTCCTTTTCCTGGCAACAATTTCCATTTACACAGCTCATAGGAGACAGATGTTAAAAATAGAGTGCCAATATATTGAGCTCCTGTGGCTCCCTCTGGAAGGACCATGGTTTGCTTTCTTACTGAAGGCAGATCTATAGAAAAATCCATTTGCAATCAGGAAGTTTCTTGGCGAGCACAGGACCCTAGGAAGTGGGGTTGTCTCTTGCCCGTGTCAATCACATGTAATGTCCTAGGCTGAAGCCAGGCTTTAAAAGGCAGCGATTTGCACCAGTTCATCACGTTCTTTTGCCCACCCTGAGCTCTGGCTTCTTAACTTCTGTAGTGAACTTGAACATCCAAAGCCCAGGTGTCTCCATGGAACAACATGTAGGGTCACTTTGGCACCTTTAAACAGATGCACAGAGACTTGTTAAAATTGACTGTGACATGAGAACTCCATGTAGTGCGGTCCATATTAAATTAAAGTGTATGCCACCGTTCTGCTCTTGTGGGTGGGGTTTCCCTACAAATTCTAGAGTCCTTTGGTGATAACCCTTAATCATGACTGTAAATCTGGCCTGGCTTCTCTTCTTTCATCGGCCCAATTCATCACCTTTCACTTGGTGTCCTATAATATTTTAAGATCATTGCTTCTGGCTTCAGGATTTTAGTACTACCAGAGTAGACTTTTACTCTTCCTGTTCTTGTTGTCTCATTGTTCTATCTCTGCTTAAACTTCACTCTGTGGGCGGGGGGTAGGGGGGGTGGGGGGTGAGGAGCTGGAGAGATGGCTCAGTGGTTAAGAACACTGGCTTTTCTTCCAGAGGACCCAGGTTCAATTCCCAGCATCCACAACTGCCTGTAACTCCAGTTCCAGGACTTCTGAAACCCTCACGTAGACATACATGCAGGCAAAACACCAATGAACATAAAATAAAATTTACACACACACACACACACACACACACACACACACACACACACACACACACACACACGCACGTACCCCAAACAAACAAACCAAAAAACAAACAAAAACTTCATTCTATGACCAACCTTTCTGGTAGGTCTACTTCCTGTAATGTCCAAGGTGAAATGAAGCCTACCGGTTTTACCTAATTAACACCAGGATGCCTGCTTTTTTTTTTTTTTTTTTTTTTCACATGTTGGCCAACCTCTCCAATGGGGCTTGCCTTCTTTTAATCCCTAAAGCCTTTTCCTTTTGTGCCATCTAGTGGTTAATTGAGTAACGACAACCAACTTGGCAAAAGGCCAGAGATGATGCTTGGCAGGGAAAGGAAATGTAAAAACTAATAAGGAGGCGCATTTCAGAACAGCCCCTCAGGGCAGTCAGGATGCACTCACTCCTCGTTCCCCGAGAACATTAACTGCACGCTTAGCATGCTGGCAGATCCTCGGGGGTTCGGAGCCGGATCTGTGTAGCTGTGGCACACACCGCAGTGTTGCAGAGCTCAGTGTTGCAGAGCTTCAGTCCCGCTATTGGAGACTTGGTCTCTGAATTTAGGAAAACTGAGACTTAGAGAAGCCATGGCATGTTATTTCCCCCCTCCCTTCTCTTTCTCCTCCTCCTGCTCTTTTTCCTCCTCCTTCTCCTCTCTCTCTCTTCCCCTCTCTCTCATTCCCTAGAGCCTGCAATAGGGATCAAATGTCTGTATGGAATACCCTCTGCTGGGGAGGGAGGCATTCAGAACCTAAGAGAGGAGTACTCCATGGGTTCTCACTTGTGTTCACAAATATTTGTACTGAAGTCCATGGGGACTGCTGACCTGGAAATAGTGTCCATATCATTGTGACACTATTACATTTCAAGGCAACTAGAGTTTGTTGCTTAAAATACCCAAGTATTTTTTCTGTATTTTAAATATTGTGGCTGGGAATTTATTCCTGGTATT